CGCTATAGTGTCGGAGAGAGAGAAGCACTGGGAATTTACTGGTCCATCGCTAAATTCTCCAGGTACCTAATAGGGAGAACGTTTTATGTAATTACAGACCACAAGTCACTTGCTGTTTTGAACACAGGGTCTGTAACAAATGCCCGTATTCTTCGTTGGACATTGTTTCTTCAGACGTTTAACTATACCATCATCTACCGGAGTGGTAAGGAGAACGTACTTGCTGACTATTTGTCCAGATTTCCTTGTACGTCATGAGACAATCAGTTCCTTTTCACATTGGAATTTTTATACCTCACTACACTGCAATGGATGCTTATATATTGGTATCAACATACTTTATCCAGATATGTATATTTCAAGGACATACCTATGAGAAGTGTTTAGTTAGTTAATTTCTCAAGTGTTTTGGACAGATGATTCCATTTATTGGGATTGACAGTAATTATGATATGTGGATTTAGCTTATGAGTTATTAGTGAACCAGTTATGATATTATATTGTATTTCTTGTTGTTTATTTCATGTCTTATTATAACAAAAGTTATCATCATTTTGTTTACATGCATTCTTATTATAACAAAAGTTATCATCATTTCGTTTACATGCATTCTCACTTAACTGCATGTTGATTTCACTAGGTATATTCGAATATAAGTTGTCTAGATGACTACAACAGAGTTAAAATTGTGCAACTGAAAACGTAGATTTTCAGTTTGTGAGAGGAGGGGATAAGCTGTTGTAATCTTATAGTCCAAGAGTTAAAGTTTCTTCTAGTTTCTTCTAGTGGTCACAGCGCAGGTGAAAGGTTCACACAGCGGCCACCGGTCGGGTCTGTTACCTGGGATACCAGCTAATTGAATGCTGGGCGATTAACACAAAGGCTCCTGCAGAACACAAAGGATTCGGCAGTTGAGATATTTCCATTGTCCAAGTCGGACGTGTTTCCGCGGGGTTAGCGGAAACTGTGTTGGCTCTCTGTATGAGGATATTATAGAAACGTTTTCTCTTTGTGAGGTTTTGATTTACCGTTGTTTGCGGGAGACAGTTCAATGTCTATTTACTTATTTTAATGGCAGGAGCCCATTGAGAAAAGCTGCTGTAATCTTTTATATCATCAGAATAGATAATGGAGATTTATTATCGTACATGTTTTATTGAATAATCATCATCATCTTGTGACGTGTAACTTTAATGCCATTAAAGTTTATGTGGCCTTTCACAAGCGTTATTGTTGGCTTGTAAAGGTAGCGACTGTATTACATGATGCTGTGTCGGTGCCAAGTGTGCCAGTTATAGAATGCAGGACTTCACTGTAGCACATCCATCAAGGAGATATCCAGCGGAATACTAGAATAGGCACCCTAGGCCTAAATACTTGGTTGAATATAAAGTATACAAAAGAATGTACAAATTAAGTGTACAACAACCCCAATGGCAGTATCTGCACCCCAATGGCAGTATCTGCACCCCAATGGCAGTATCTGTACCCCAATGGCAGTATCTGTACCCCAATGGCAGTATCTGCAACCCAATGGCAGTATCTGCACCCCAGTGCCAGTATCTGTACCCCAATGGCAGTATCTGCACCCCAATGGCAGTATCTGCACCCCAATGGCAGTATCTGCACCCCAATGGCAGTATCTGCACCCCAATGGCAGTATCTGCACTCCAGTGCCAGTATCTGTACCCCAGTGCCAATATCTATACCCCAGTGGTGGTATCTATTAGGGCTGTACCGAATAGTGGTTTTCACTATTCGGCCGAATACGAATAGTTTGACCAACTATTCGGCCGAATACGAATAGTGTATCATCATCATCAGGTGCCTCGCCGACTGGTGTGTCGATTTTGCAACAACTGTCAAGAATCTTCTCTCGTTGTCTTTTTCTATCGCTCCTTCCACAAATCTTTCCAGTGGTCACCACATGTTCCATTTTCACTCTTTCTGTATGATGACTGTCTTCTTCTGATGTCTGCGATTAGTTGTCTTTGGGCTCCCGCCTCTTTCAAAACCTAGTAGTTGCTTTTTTTAAGCTGTCCAAGGTATTTTAAGAATTTTTCTGTAAAACCACATTTCTGAGGCCTCAAAAAATTGTTTCGCCTGACTACTGATTGTCCAGGACTCATAGCCATATGTTAAAACTGGATGTATGTAGCATGCAAGAAAACAATATATTGCACAAGATGTTCTTTTTTTAAAATATAAAATGCATTTTTAGCCTGTCCTATTTTGTTTTTTATTTTAGTAATGCATCTTTCATCTGATTTTATTCATGTGCCAAATTCTCATTTAAATCATTTTTCGTTCAGGCGTTCGTTCAATGTAATTTAAATGCACCTTCATATTCTGGTTTGCAATATCTTCAATTTGATTTGGGAAAAGACACCCCGAAAGAACAAAAAAATGCATGCTTTCTCTTTGTCTCTCTCTCTCTCTCTCTCTCTCTCTCTCTCTCTCTCTCTCTCTCTCTCTCTCTCTCTCTCTCTCTCTCTCTCTCTCTCTCTCTCTCTCTCACACACACACACACACACACACAGATACACTTTCAAGTTTCTTCATGCCTTCTTTAACACAACAGTAGCGATGCCTAAATCTTTCGTAGCGGGGAAAACGGCGACCCGTTTGCGTGGTAACAGCGCCTGACTCCGAGGCATTACAGTAGAGGTTCTAAAACTGGGTGCGTATGACAGGGGTGCCGCGGCAAAAATCAAGAAAAGTCGGCTATAAATTGTGACATTATTAATGAGAGAGTTATTTTAGTCCATCACAGTGTATGCAGAAATCACTATTTGTATTCGGCCCGACCGCCACTATTCGGTCGAGTACCGAATAGCTAGTAGGTCCACTATTCGGCCTCGAAGCGAATACGAAGCAAATATTCGATACAGCCCTAGTATCTATACCCCAGTGTCAGTATCTGCACCCCAGTGCCAATACCTGCACCCCAGTGCCAGTATCTGTACCCCAGTGCCAATATCTGCACCCTAGTGCCAATATCTGTACCCCAGTGCCAATATCTGCACCCCAGTGCCAGTATCTGCACCCTAGTGCCAGTATCTGCACCCTAGTGCCAATATCTGCACCCCAGTGCCAATATCTGCACCCCAGTGCCAATATCTGCACCCCAGTGCCAATATCTGCACCCCAGTGCCAGTATCTGCACCCCAGTGCCAATATCTGCACCCCAGTGCCAATATCTGCACCCCAGTGCCAATATCTGCACCCCAGTGCCAATACCTGCACCCCAGTGCCAGTATCTGCACCCTAGTGCCAATATCTGCACCCCAGTGCCAGTATTTGTACCCCAGTGCCAATATCTGCACCCCAGTGCCATTATCTGTACCCCAGTGCCAATATCTATACCCCAGTGGTGGTATCTATACCCCAGTGGTGGTATCTATACCCCAGTGCCAATATCTATACCCCAGTGGTGGTATCTATACCCCAGTGGTGGTATCTATACCCCAGTGGTGGTATCTATACCCCAGTGCCAATATCTATACCCCAGTGGTGGTATCTATACCCCAGTGCCAGTATCTGCACCCTAGTGCCAGTATCTGCACCCCAATGGCAGCATCTGCTGAGAGACTAAATGCACACATATAAATTCATGCACACCTGCAAACATATTTTCATTCACAGACGCACATGCACACATTTATTTCTAGAATCTAACCAGTGTGAATGTAATGCTGTCAAAGCAAAAAACAGGAGACCGACACTTGGGAGTCCTGATTTGGATACTCTCTTTAAATGTGAACAGCAAGGATAAAAGATAAGTCAGCAACAGATATTACTATTGCATGGGAAGTGGTATGACTTCACCTGTCCAGCTTGGAGAGAAAAGTTCATTTTTTGTCTCTCTATTACCTATCAAAAGGAGATATCTAGTGCCTACTTAGAATGAGTTAATCTCAGAGAAGTATGCTGACAGAAGCTGCCCTTTTCCAATGCCAACTGAACCTACTCCCCAGCATTGACAAACTACTTAACTATGCCCAATAGTACTACAGCTCCAGAAGGAAAAATAACCCACACTTAACTGTGCTGTTTCCTTTGTAGGTGGTGAAAAATCCTTTATATGATGAGTCCTCTGATGACTCATTGCTGCCTCCTCCAAAGATGACTGTCAACATTGTGGCAACTCAACCGTTACAGCTGGTCATGAGCAAGACGTGTCTCAAAGTGTTGTACCAGCTTGGAGAGGTATAGGAGATAATTAAGGATATATTAGGAAAGAAGAGGTGTGGACATTGTTTAGGTGAGAATGTTAACAATTTTCATTTTTTGTTAATTGATGGAGTCATCCAAAAAGGTTTGTTGAGAAAGAATCATTAATTATATGCAAAAGCTTTCTGAAGCCGGTAGAGTCTCACTGTACACAAACCACTAGTGGCCTGATCATTTAAACATAACTAGGAGTCTCAGTGGTGAAGTGGCTAACCTGTTTGTCTTGTGCCCTGAAGGTTGTGGATTTGCTTTTGGGGTTCCATCCACAAGTTCACAAGTAGAGATCTTTCAGAGATCCCTGGAGCTACAGAGTGTGTGCTTTGTGCATTGTTTTTTTGAATGATCAAGGACCCTGTGAAGAGAGACCAAGCCATGTTGGATAAAACCTGGCTATTATTCTGCAGTTGATTACTTGCCTTTCAGCACATTTTCTTTATATTAGTTTTATTCATCTGCAGAAAACC